TTTTGCAATCTCTGTCCCTTTTTTAACAGTTAACAAAAAAACAACTTTAAAAAACCCCACATCAAGTTCAATTCGATGACCAGGATAATCCTATTCATCTGGGCACTCCCCAGTCCCCCGCTCTCCGCTGCCCATTCCACGTTCACTGTATCAGAACTTCAGAATATCAGCCGACAGCAATTCTACTTCGGCATCCCCCCTATTGACAAAAATCCTAGAAACCCGACCGGATCTGATGACTCCGCAATAAAAAGTTGCTTTTATAACTCAGTTCATAGCTATTTTTTTAACTGCCATCCTGCTAGCATGTCCTGATGGTCGGATTCTTTGTTAAGACCACGAAGAAGGTTTCAAAAACTATCAAAAACTTTTAGAAAAAGATAACGGCATTAAAAAAAGAATCTGGGAAAGTGGACTACAGGAAGAAATGAAACCAGAAGAAGACCCCCAAGAAATAGTAAAAATCACAGAGTCAGACCGAATTTTAAAACCCAAAAAAAACTATCAAAAAAGCAGCGTATGCTTAAGAAAATTGAAACTGAAGGAAAAGCTCAAAAAAAAAACACCGCTAGCGAAGATGCCCCACCCATGGAAAAAGTTTTCGCAAAGAAAACGAAGAAGACGACCCCCTGAGAAGCCTTTAACGAGAGGAAAAAAAGGGGAAAACTATTTTTTAAAGGTAAACAAATCCTCCCCTTTTTGGGACGGTCCCCCCCCCCCCCCTTTTTGGGACGGTCATGATCACATTCTCGGGCTAATTTTAACGCCCCAATTTCTAAATTACTAAATTTAAACGGACAAAAAAAAAATGCTTAAATTTAGACAAGTTTGTTTCCACAAGTTTATTTCAGATTTACCCGGCCAGGACGTATCAGACACGGAGTTGAGCCCAGGAAAATTGGTAAAGGTGTCACTATCCTTTTCCCCCAAAACATCAGAAGAAGTCATCTGGCCCAAAAAAAATACCCAAATTTTTACCCTCAGGATCTTGAAAACCTGTGAACTTGTTTTCATTTCTGGGGACGAAAAATGCAAAATGGTCACCATAACGAATTCAAAGTATCGGATAGCGTTTTCACCCGTCTTTTGGCAAGAAAAAAGAAAAGAAAGAAAACATCTGGTCAAAGGAAATTTGAATTTATTAGTCGGGATCCACAGAAGAGGAACAATACGCAGTTAAAGAAAAATCGCCCACTTTAACCCCGAAGCTTCCCGGAAAGAGTTCTTCCAAAAAAACCTTCACGAAGACCACCTCCTAAACACAAAAATTAAAGGATTTAAGAACCGGGAAATTTAACAATCAGAAGCCGGAAAAAAGTGATTCACCAATTTAGATGAAATAAATGTCCACAGTCACCCCCCTGAAATCACCAGATCCAAGCTTCCCCACAGCTAATAGGCTGTCGTCTGCGAGGGAAAGAAGTTTTGAATCAAATATCTTAAAAAGAAATAGGGAAAACCAAAACTGTGCCGGATACAGCCACAGAAGAAAACACTGAAAGAAAGAAAAGAAGGGGGGATCCCGCTGTGTAATCGAAGTGGAAAGAGATGAATGTTATATCCCTCGACTCCCGCCATCCCTCCCACCAAACCCCTCTCCTGTCACCCCCCAGTGCCTTTTGGGAAGAGTGTCCCGCAAACCCCCTCACCTAATAAAGTAAAAACTGGCCGCTCAAAAGCCCCTCCTTCCACT